TGAAGTAGGATATGTGGCAGGATGTGGTTAAGTGTCTACTCACAAAGAAACTCCACAAGCAAACTTGCAAACAGGTCTGTTGAGAGGAAGTGGGGTATATCAGCCATTCCCAAATTCCCTTCCATCCTAGATATACGCATATGCCAGGAGCAATCCATACCATCTCCACGACCACCAAGTATTTCAAGGACTGGCAGGCCTTAGATGCTCTCTCTCTCTCTCTCTCTCTCTCTCCCTCCCTGTGGCACACATTTACAATGCCAGGCCAAGAAAAGGGGGTGTGGCCTAATCCTGCAGCTGCAGAGGCCTGATTGGGGGCACCAACAACAGACTAGTCAACAGTGATGACATTCTGGAGATCCCTGCCTTAAAGAAATGCATGCAGAGATGGCTCTAGGTGTAAGAGGATATAGAGACAGATAAAAGTGTAATGATATTATATATAATAATATAAGTATGTCATAATCCAAACAGTTTTCCTCTCACATCCCAAACTATTGGCCATCTATAAGAAGTTACTTCTTGGGGCGCCTGGGTGGCTTAGTGGGTTAAGCCGCTGCCTTCGGCTCAGGTCATGATCCCAGGTCCTGGGTTCAAGCCCCACATCGGGCTTTCTGCTCAGCAGGGAGCCTGCTTCCTCCTCTCTCTCTCTGCCTGCCTCTCTGCCTACTTGTGATTTCTCTCTAAAAAAAAAAAAAAAAAAAGAAGTTACTTCTTAAAGAACTTTCCTAGAGTTTATAAGCAAGCATTATATTGGATTATACAGAGACCCACAGACAACAGCTTCTAGCAAACAGATATAAAAACATGTGCCCGATATAATCTGTTCTTTAAATGTTAAAGCATTTGGACAATAAACTAATTTCAACCATGACTTACCATCTCCCCTGATGATAGGGAGCCTTAAAGGATGAATCAAATTAAGTCAACATAAGAATTGCGGTGTCCACTTAGAATAATATAAACTCAACAAAACATTTTTAACAAAGGAGCCTGTGCAAGCTGCCTCTCACTATATGAAATTTCAAAGCTGTATCTACCACAATTTTTAATACACAGTATTCTATCTACCAAAATAACTAGTTTTCAAAATGAATTGACCAAAATCTCTGAAAGCCTACACTAAGATATTCAAACTCTCAGCCAGATTCAACAGTTTTCTCATGCATGACTACAAATGACCTCTCAAAAGTGTGTCATTCACATTTCATCCATGATTCCTTATTAGAAATTATTATTAATTATATTAATGTTTTCTCAGAAAAACATTGATGTGCAAAGGGATCTTCAGTAAGTATTTTACAAGAAACTTGTTTTCCATCAGAATCTGTGACACACTTTCTAAGTTAAGTTGACTCATCCAGAGCTATAACCAATTTCCTCAAAGAAGAAATTCACATCAGAAGCTATACCATGTGAAATGGGCAAAATTATGGTGTAGAGTTTATAATCCACTGCCACTACCTGAACCAAAACTATTCCAAAGCAGCCATGAAAAGAACTGTCTTCCAAATGAATAGCCCCAGATAGGAAGATCAAGATGTTTCACAATACCTCTTCTCCACAATCATGAGATCAAAACTGCACTATCCAACAGACAGAAGTCACTTTTCCATCAGTTGTAAGGACAATCTCAAAAAAGTTATAAATAGCTAAGTGAAACAATGGGATCAAATCAGTTTAACAGTAAATTAAAATACGATCTATAAACTGGCCTTTCCATTTCCCTCCTCACATTTTGAAGATAAACAAAATGCACTTTGGTGTCATATCACTTTCATTCCCATACTGCAGAGCACGCCTCAAATGGAGTGGCCACCTTCCTTCCAAAATCCTGAAGAGAGAAGCTGGTAAGTTTAACAGGCAGATCTTATGCACTCACCTCCCCACTCCTTTAAATGACAGAAAGACCCCTCTACTGTCCAGAAATGGTAGTCTTAGGATGACATCACTTGTCTGTAGTAGTAAAGAAGGACAATGAAACTACACAAGGTAATTGGTTTCTAAGGAAAGGTCAAAAATGATGTGTCTAGGTGGCCTGCATAAGTGTGCATGTGGCTATATAAATAAATTTCTTCTACCTTGTCTCTTCCTCCCCTATGGCATGGAGTTGAAATCAGTGTACTTTTGACTCCTTGGGTAAGTGCAAATTCTCATATGTATATATATTTTTTGAAATTTTATTTATTTCTTTGACAGAGAGAGAGAGATAGCGAGAGCAGGAACATAAGCAGGGAAAGTGGGAGAGGGAAAAGCAGGCTTCTCGTGGAGCAGGGAGCCTGATGTGGGATTTGATCCCAGGACCCTGGGATCATGACCTGAGTCGAAGGCAGACGCTTAACAACTGAGTCACCCAGGCGCATACACACACACACACACACACACACATATTTTTTTTAATATAGATATATAGATATTTGTTTGTTTTTTAAATACAAGGCCAGATACCCCTTCTAGCCAGTAAGGACCATTAAACCATTTCAGTCACTTCAGCCCACAGTTAGTAAAGTGTTCAAGGAATTCTGCCTAAGTTTAAAAAATAAGAGACTTTTTGTACCCCAAAAAAGTACATCCCAAAGTCCAAAAAAAAGGTATGATTTCAGCAATCAGGACAAGATTTAGCTTGACTGAATAGATTGGTCAAAACTGAAGAAAAGAAAAGTAGGTACTCTCAAATTAAATGTAATACATTATAAATCAAACTTTCTGGGACTTTTCAGTAAGCTGAAAGGACTTAATATTGTTACTTTTAATTTTCTAAGTACAGAAAATATTAGAATCTGATTTCCTTATATCATTCCATTGACCCTAACTATTACAATACTCCAACTGAACTCTTGAAAACTTCACCTTGCTTAAAGGTGGTGAATCAAAGCAACCGAAACTGCAGGGGGCAGTACAAGCATGACTTCCAACATAATTCTTAAGATTTAGGAAAAATCTTCCAGTGACCTTAGCCTTTAAACTACTAAGATACCTCAAAGATTCCACATAAAAATGATTCTTAAAGATAATTAATTGAAATTCTTCTCCAAATTTAACAGTGGGGGTGGGGGAAGAGAAATATACTAAACTCACTCCTGTGCTCCCATTATCCGTGTAACACAGCCCAGTCAAAAATAATAAAACAAGTTTGTTAAAAAAAGAACTTCCTATCCACGCTCTTAAAAAACAGAGGTCATCATTCAAAACTATAAAGCTCACTTACTCATGATTAACTTACTATTCCAGAATATACTTTTAATCACTTTTAAGCATAAATAGGTAAATTCTTTAAAAGTATGATTGATTCATCACTGGAGAAAAATGTAATAAAATATTCAACATGGTATAAAGTATGACTTGAGAAAATTAAAGTTACTCTAAGATGAAAAGAAAAGTTTAAAAAAAAGTCAATTTTGTATTCACAGTTGCCATTACAGTATTATCTCCCAGCTACTCATTAACCTTCTTTTTCTTTCCCTGGACCCACAATGACTCCATCTATGCACCACTGATAATGATAATCTCAGGACATCCTCTTACACACAAAGGAGAGTGATTTGCAATTAACAATTGAATTAAGTTAGATGAAGCTTTCTCTGTGTTTTGAGTAAAGGTAAGATCCCGTGGTAAATACATCAATCTTCTTTCTTAGAGCACTTTTCTCCTTTCATCCACAATATGTAGTTGACCTTTTCTTGACATTGTAAAAACATGTCATTGATAGTCACCATAAATATTCACCTCATATATATCATTTCCACAGCACTTCATAATAGTAATAATTACTAACTTCTCAGGGCTTGTCATATGTGAAACTCAATCTTTAGAACTCTATGAAATAGGAATTACCCCCATATAATAAATGGAAAAACTGACTCAAGGAGGATCTGTGAGGTGCCCCAGGCTAAGGACTGGTAGAGCTGGTATAATATGCATCAGTCACAAACAGGAGGGGACCACATATCCCAAGTCAGATGTCTCAGAAACCAAACTACAAAAGAACTCGTACCCATCATAGATGTTCACCTTCCTCGGCTATATAGTTGGACCCATCTGAAGGCATTAACAGGAGAGATTAAAATCTACAAAGCATGATCAAAAGTGTAGCTCCACAACTAAGCAGGGGAATATATAGAAAACATGGCCAGGACATCTCATAAGCTCCTGGGCCATTTTCACAGAGAAAAGAAAGGCCTGGCATGACTGGGTAGGTGCTCTAATATGAGAACCTAAACAAAAGGGCCACAATCCAGTCAACTTGGGAAGACCCACTCCATCTACCTCTTATCTCAAACTCATCACTGTTTTATTTTCATATCTTGATTTCCCAAGCAGTCTTCTCAACTAGAAAACTATTTGTTCACTATAGTCCTCTATACAGACTGACACAATCTATCTTCTTTAAGTCTGAGCAACAAAGGCAGTCTTCTGAAGGCCTCAATATCTCCAGGACAAATTCATCCTCAAAGTTCCAGTCCCTCCCTATCCAGTACACAAGTATAGTGACCTTGAAAGCCTCCCCACCGAATTTCTCCATGTCTTCAGTTAACCAGAAACCAACTTAACAATCACACTGGACAAGACACACTTCATACAGCGTGGCTTCAGGATACAAATCTAACTGTTAGGTTTATGAGAAAACTTCCCCTCCTACTTTAGACACTTCTAAACAGCCATAATTTTTTTGTTTCCTAAACAAGAAAACGTGTATTACTTTTGGGGAAGCGGAATTAACTTCAGGAATCTTCCTACTGAACATAACAAGAAAATTTAAGTATCTAAACACCAATCACTTTGGTATTCATGAAGCTCACAAAAAAGGATGGGGAGATGTTCCCAGTGAAAACAAAACCTAACACTCTGTCACAGGTTTCTTCATAACTTTATTAATACAGTTGGGAAACGCTAGTCATATAACTGATGGTTAACTAACTCAACATTTGAACAACTTGAACAACTCAACGTAATGAACATAAACTCACAAATATTTTAAATAAAACACAGAAAAGAAATACCTCGAGTTCCACCAGAGCCGCAGTCACTGCATCTGTCGCAAGAGCACCAGCCTGTAGCTTTTCAATTGCCTATGAAACCAAGGGGGGAGATTATTCATTGTAAAACCACAACTCCCCAAACACCAGAAACTATCCAAAACCTTAAAGAAGTGTAGCAGACATTTAGAGTTAATAAAAATTGATCACTAGTTCCATTCCATACTTCAAGACATAACCTATTTAGATTTACAACAAGCACGGGCTTATATTCAAGATAATTCATGATACAGTTCACTTATCACTCAAATTAAGACAATGAATAAAAATTTAGCCACTAAATGCAAAGTGTAGGCGATTTAGTAAATGAATGGGCTTCATTCATCACATGGCAATTCAAAAACAGCCACAGACATTATGTCAGTTTAGTTTGGTTTAAATATCCTGATAATTCAAAGGAGGATGCTTGTTGTGGTAAGCACCAGCTGCTGTATGTAAGTGATGAATCACTAAATTCTACACCTGAAACTAATACTGCACTGTATGTTAACTGGAATTTAAATAACTATTTGGAAAAAGAAAAAATAAATAAATACCTCATAATTCATATTTTATATACATAATTAAATATCAGACTAAGCTAATAACATCTCCCACTGCTACTACACTCTACACCCCTAACTATAAAAAACAATGACTCTCAGTCACAGAAATACTTCAGAATCTTTAGATGGACACATACATGTGACAAAACGTTTTTGGTCCTACAGTGGTTCCCACTTATCCCATTTCATTTACACCTAGTCAACTGCGGTCCAGAAGGAAATGATCCTCTTTCTGACATAATATCAGGTTAAGAGTAGCCTAGCACTATGCCCCAATTCCTAAGTCATTCACTCACTTCATCCCATCAGGGAGGCATTTTATCATCTCACATCATCCCAAGAAGAAGAGGTGAGTACTGTATAGTTAGATTTTTTCACAGAGAAAGAAACCACATTCACACAACCTTTATACACACACAGTATAACTGTTCTATTTTATTATTACTGTTGCTAATCTTTTATGTGCCTAATTTATAAAGTAGACTTTATCAAAGGTATGTATATATAGGAAAAGTACATATAGGGTTCAGTACATATGCAGTTTCAGGCATCCACTGGGGGTCTTGAAACATTACCCTCCTTGGATAAGGGAAGATTACTGTATAATATATTGAGATTAAAAAAATCATGCTCTTTTGTAATATAAACTATAGAGAGTAAAGGCCCACAGAATCACCTTACTTCTGGAGTATAAAGGAAAGAGAAAGAAGGAAAACTGATCTCTAAATGGACTATTAAAGCTCCAATTTAGTCAACAGAGAAAATGCTCAAAAGCTAAGAGTTATATTCCTCATTAAACTTTTAAGAAGTTCATTCACTGTGTAAATTGAGGAGGCTGAGTATTCATTCCAAATGTATTAGGATTCTAAGACTGTAGTTATATAAAACTTACTTTTTTCAGATGATGTAAACATCTTAAACTTTGAAAATTAAGATTCAAAAATATGAAATAGTTTAGAGAACTTTTAGCTTTATTATAAATTTCAGAAAAACAATAAAATCCCCATAACAAAATATTCTTATTTATTTATGTGATTTCATTCGTAAGAAAAAGCTTGGATCTCTAATAAAGCATAATCTTTCTTTCAAATGGTATTTAATTATAAATGAAAAGAGCTGGAAGAGACCCATATTTACTCGATATACTAGCCACTAACGTTATATTTGCATAAAAAGTAATGGAAGCTTTGCCAATAAGAGTATATAGTCAAGATCAAAATAAAAACAAACAATATTTCTTCTGAATCCATTCCTGCCTCCACATTAAGTATTCAACAATTTAGCAAAACCTCAAAGCCAAAGAGAAAAAAAGCACAACTGAGAACAAGAGCAAAGCTAAACTCAGGAATGACAATGAATTTGCTATGATACAAACTACATAATGAAAAACAGAAGGAAAAAGCACAGGATAATCTCCCTAGGAAAAGCATCCATTTTAATTTTTTATTATTTATTTTCTTCTCTTCACAGAAAGACACATCAGCTGTCTTTGAACTGTTTTGCCTACTCCTTCAATGGAGCTCAATGCCTTTGCAAGATTAAAAGATATATAATTATGTGCCCACAATTCCAAAAATACAGACTTAAGCAGGGAAATGAAGGGAGAGATCTAAGTATCATTTGGAGAATAAAAAACACAAAACAAAACAAAAAAGACATCCCACAAATATGAGCAAAATAAGTTCATGGTCAAAACTAAAGACCATCTTAGAAGTCAAACCTTAACATTTTGAATTTCAAGGTAAAGCTGTTTGTTGGTAGGGGCGCCTGGGTGGCTCAGTGAGTTATGCCTCTGCCTTCAGGTCATGATCTCAGGGTCCTGAGATGGAACCCCACATTGGGTTCTCTGCTCAGCAGGGAGCCTACTTCTCCCTCTCTCTCTGCCTGCCTCTCTGCCTACTTGTGATCTCTCTCTCTCTGTCAAATAAATAAATAAAATCTTTTAAAAGAAAAAAAAAAAAAAAAAGACTGCTTGCCGGCCAAAACTGAAATGTTTCCATCAGACACACTCTGTTCATTCATACCTTCTGACAAGCTCGTTTGCATACATGTTTATATTCCTTGGCTTTGGATTCAGAATGATAACCCGCACCTGTAGTGGGGAAAAAAACAACCAGTTGTTAGTTATCATTAAAATATTAGAGATTTTACTTATATAAATAGTTCATACAAACTGATGCTCTCCTGGTGAAATAAAGCTATTGTCCTACATACATGGAGTTTTCAAACTCTAATAGATTCCTTCTGCACATAAGCCTTTTTAATGCCATGTCTTACCTCCTTTTTCAAAGGCTATTTTCCTGCCAGAGGTACTAGAAATAGCTCATATTCCCAAACAGCCTCCACCAAGACTATTTTCTTTCAAAAACCTTTCTCCAAAGCCAGGAGATTTTTTGGTCTGGGGTTGATAACCTAGGAGGTGTCAGGGACAGAGTTCCTTCAAGTTCCTTTCTGTTGACCTTTAGAAAGTACCTGCCAGGGGCACCTGGGTGGCTCAGTGGGTTAAAGCCTCTGCCTTCGGCTCAGATCATTATCCCAGGGTCCTGGGATCGAGCCCCACATCGGGCTCTCTGCTTAGCGGGGAGCCTGCTTCCTCCTCTCTCTCTCTCTGCCTGCCTCTCTGCCTACTTGTGATCTCTGTCTGTCAAATAAATAAATAAAATCTTAAAAAAAAAAAAAAAGAAAGTACCTGCCATTTGGCAAATTACTATTCAGAATTCTGAATTCTTAAGAGTAACTTCGAAAAACTAGGTAGTGTCTAAATAACATTTGAGGTTGAGGAGTATTACCTCCCACCTCTCCACAACCACCAAATACCACCATTCCCATGCACACTTTCTCTGTCCTCTCACTGTGGGAATATAGCTCACCGTGTCTCTGAAACCTCGGTGGGAGCATATTTCAGTCAGCCTATTAGAAATCCCGGTGGTCCCCATCTCTTAAACACCCAACAACTGCCTCAAGAGACTCGCTCTGAAATTTGTTTCCCTAAGAGTTTTAATACTTGCTTAGTTAGGGATTTGAGAATAATCTAAATAAGAAAGAAACCAAGAGCCCTTAAAGGGCCCTTAAAGTCTCTTGATGGTTGTTAGGCTTCTAAACAAAGTTCTTTAACAGAGCTCTGAATCTCCCCCCTCACCTAAACCCCAAGGTCCCACAGGGGTCCAACAGAAGGAAGGTTAAGAACTGCGTTTCTAAGGCTCAAGGCTCCTCAAGTGGGTCTACAGACTCAGACCTAAACTTACCCCACCTTTCCTCAGACCAGAGAAAGAAATGGCTCGTGAATATATCAATGAGGGACCCAGAAGAACAGAAAAAATGCCAAACCAACAGGAACCCCTTATTCTAATCCTATTTCTCAGGAGAACTCTGAAACCTCAGAGAGCCTGCACCAATATTTAACAGACCTCTCTTCATGGTCTTCTAACATGTCTGTCATCTTAGATCTGGGGGCCCCAATCTTTCAGCAGTATTTCCCAAATCATGGGACACTATTATTAAGTAGGTAACTTTAGGGGATGGTCGACAGTTTTAATAGGATTTAACATATAAATGCTTCGTTTTGAATAAGGGAAAAGTCTCAGCACGGCCATAGTACATCTTTCATATCCGGTTAGCACTTTGTAATTTCTCTATCTAACAAAGGGAAGATAGCCTCAGGATCTAAGCCACTGACATATGACAGGATTCAGCTAAATTTAATCACACTGTTTTGCTTGCACTGTGTTTAAAGTTATTTTCTCCTCATGCAAGTGATACTGACATTTCATTTAAGTAAAGATAAGTTTCATCTTTCAAGTTTTAAGTGTTCAGCTTTTAAATATGAGGTAAACAGTATAAGTAGTATATAGATCTAGGAAAAGTCAAGAAATCTTAGACTCAAATGACTGACATTTGGGCAAGTCTCCCCTAGTTTAAGAAAAAAAAATCATTAAAATCTCTACAGTGGATGAGAAACTAAAATTTTGTACCTTAAATGTGTAAGACATATTTCTGTATAATCAGTCTATCTGACCTTCTAATAACTTAGGAGAGGGTGACCTTAATCCACGTATTTTCCTGCCATAACCCAGATTTCCTCCTATTACTGCTGGCCCCCAGCACCAACTTCATCTAGGAGCCATTCCCAGTTAGTGAGTGTCTGAAAGAAGAGGGATACCACATGAGAGTTATAGGAAGCAATGCTGTCCAACTAATCAAAAGCTCTATGTTGCTGCATGTTACAAATTTCAAACCTTTCTTGTACATTTGTCACGTACTCATCCTGAATGCAATAACTCACTGGGTACCATGAAAGATGCACCAGCATGGTATAGTAGAAGGCAGGGTTCTGCTTCCAAAGTCTACTTCTAACTGGGTTATTTCTAAAATGTACCTCATTTCTTTGTAAAATCTTTTGAAAGAAAGGCAAACTGAACCTGGGTTTTTTGATTCTCCTGGAATAGGTTTAGTAAGACTTCCAAAGTCATCTAGTCCATATATAGCCAAAGCTTAATGACCAGGCATGACACCAGTTTGACAAGAAGAAACAATTCTACTCCTTACCCCATATCAAAGTTAATCTTGATTCCCCCCTGCCTGACTATCTGAGGAAAGTTAAAAGGAGATCTAGCCATTCCTTCTCTCTTCACAGAAGTCATGAATTGTAAGTAAATGCAAGCCAAAAAAAAAAAAAAAAGACTTAAGAAAAAAAAAAAAAAGAAGTCTGCTGGGCAGACCTGAGCAGAGATACACTACTCTGAAACCCAACCCCCCGCCTTTTTTTTAAGATTTTTATTTATTTATTTGACAGAGAGAGAGATCACAAGTAGGCAGAGAGACAGGAAGAGAGAGAGGGGGAAGCAGGCTCCCCGCTGAGCAGAGAGCCTGATGCGGGGCTCGATCCCAGGAGCCTGAGATCATGACCTGAGCCAAAGGCAGAGGCTTAACCCACTGAGCCACCAAGGCACCCCTGAAACCCAAAGTCTTCAAATGATTGGGGACCCAGGGGTTGAACTTCACTGCATCTGTCCTCCAGGTCCTCTGTATTGTCAAAAGTACTACACTGGGACTTTAAGGCCCACTTACATACAGGTCGCAACCTGGCCCAAGCACAACCTAGCCGTGTGGCTGAAGCTACTTAATCTCTCTTCCTCACTTATAACATGAAAAAGGCAAATTAGCTCTATGACTGTGTACTATTATACTCTAAAATGGCTATAGCTGGGGCGCCTAGGTGGCTCAGTCAATTAAGTATCCAACTCTTGATTTCAGATGTGGTCATGACCTCAGGGTCATGGGATAGAGCCCTGCACTGGGCTCCTGCTCAGCATGGAGTCTGCTTGAGATTCTGTCTCCCCCCTCACCTCCTATTCTGCTCTTCCCCCACTTGAGTGCTCTGTCTCTCTCTTAAAATGAATACATAAAATCTTTTTTAAATAAATAGCCATAGTCAGATATGGGGTCAATAAAATTTTTCAGCAGCATCATTTTTAAAAACACAAACCAGAGTTTAAGAAATTACTTTGCCTGATTTTAATTCTACCTAATTATATCTATTATATGGGGTAAAAGTAAATAATGGGGTAGAGAAGTGAAGAAAACATAGGAAGAGCTATCATTATAAGATCTTCCAAGCAGGAAGCAGGAGAGACCTATATTGCAGTCAATCCCTTTGGTTCCAACTCCTCTCTGGCAGTTTGCCTCCTACAGATGTGAAATTCAGTTCAGGATACTTCAAGACAAGGGGGGAAAAAATCAACTTTATCTTCATCTTCCAACTCGCCCACTTAGAGCTTACCTGCATGTACCAACACAAAGCCCCCTCGCTTCTCCTTATGGGACTGCTTTGTTTCCAACTCTTTGACTGTTATTTTAACAGTCGAAATCTGAGATGATCTGGAAGGCACCCCTTCTCCAGAACTCATCCCCTTCTCCATGGTCATTCTCTGAGATTACCATCTTCTATTGGGAAAAGTGCATACTTCCATCCAAAAGTAATTGCAGGAGAGGAATTACCCTAAAGAAAAGCAGGCAAAGATGGTATACATTTCTTTCACTAAAATACACATAACTTACACAAATTTGTATAAAGATAATATTCCAAAAACCTAATTTTAAAGTTACTTAACTAGGTAATACAAAGAATATGAAAAAGTTAGGATTTAAATCTGTCCACAGACAATACTTACTTAAAATCATATAAACAAAAGAACTGTTGTAAAAAGACTTCATATGAAGTCCAGAGGAATTTTATCTTTCATTGTATTTACATTGAAGGAAACCTCAAAATAACTTAAATATCACTTTCTACTTCCTTCGATCCAATATTAATAATCTCTGGGACATTCTAGAGTCACTAGTGATGCTGATTAACACCACCAAGCCTCGATATAAAGTCTATTATTACAGCCAACTTTTTCTTCCCCAGCTTTACTATGACATAACATATAAAATTATATAATTTTAAGGTATACAAAACAATTTGACACACACACATACTGTGAAATGATTACCACAATAAGATACCTAGTTTCACAATGTTAGATAAAATCTATACCCTATTCTGAACTGAGAAGTAGGGAGGGGTATAAGTCTTTCTTTGCCAATATAAAACATAAATAGTAGCATAAAAAGTGACTTAGTTGCCTAATCCAAAAAAATTGTGTTACTCAAAGTGTGGTCTGCAGATCAGGGTTTGCTACCAGTCTGCAAGAGACTTATTTTATTCATATATTAATTGGTTTATATACACATTTTCAACAATATGTACACTTTTTATATTTTTTCCTTTTTGTTTATATTTTTGAAGCAATATTATCTATTAAATATAATAAAATTGAGTTTTTATTTTTATATTTTTTATTCTTTTCTATTTACAGTCAATTAATTAACATATAATATATTATTTGTTTCAGGGGTACAGGTCTGTGATTCATCAGTCTTACTTAATACCCAGTGCTCATTACAATACAAACCCTTCCCAGTGTCTATCACTCCTTTATCCCATCCCACACACCTCCACCCCTCCAGCAACACTCAGTTTATTTCCTAAGATTAAGAGTCTCTTATGGTTTGTCTCCCTCTCTCAATTTCTCTTGTTTCATTTTTTCCTCTCTTCCCCTATGATCCTCTGCCTTGCTTCTTAAATTCCACATATCAGTGAGATCATATAATAATTTTCTTTGACTCACTTATTTTGCTTAGCATAATACCCTCTAATTCCATCCACATCATTGCAAATGGTAAGAGCTCAAATTTTGATGGCTGCGTAATATTCCATTATTTTTATCTTTCATTCACAGTTTCATATTTCAGTTTTGTTTGGGGCTTGGCTTTTTTTTGGTTTTAGATTTGGTTCTTTTGCATTTTGTAAAAAATAGTCAACAATGGATTGAAAAATTTTTAAAGCTGGTCTTTTACACCAGAGATGGTCTGAGAAGCACTGCAATATGGCATTTCAATTAGAAAGGAAGCAACTTCTACTCTAACATTAGCTTTCGTTTAACTCTAAACCCATTAATGGTCTGACTGGCCTAATAAATAAAGAATTCCAACAAATGACTAAAACAAGGCAACAAAGGGCAAATGGGCAAATCCCAGTTAACAGAAAAATTGTATAACAGTGTAAACAAATCAAAAGATGCTAAATCTCACTCAAAAGAGAGATACAAAATAAAACTACACCCAAATGCCACTTTAACTTGGGATGACCAACATCAAAATGATACCAGGTTTTGAGGCTATTGAGAAACAAGAATTCTCACACAACTGCTAGTGGCAGCATAAGATGACAAAACTCAACAAGAGCATTCTGGCAAAATCAATCAAAATTACAAATGCACTCTGAAAGATATGAACCAACAATATGTCTTGATGTAAGTGGTTAAAATAAATGCAGCCACTGGAAAAAAAATGACAATATTCTTGATATACAATACAGATTGACTAATCTTATAGTTTTGGTAAGTAAAAAAGGCACAGCACAGAAATATATGCAATGCCATATTTTGAGGGAGGGGAGAAAAAAATAATACAGCTAAGTATATATGCAAAGCACAAATCTGGAAAAATATGCCCCAAAATATAGTATAATAGTGGTCACCCAAAGAAGATTTGAATGATGGATGGACAAAGGTGGAATGGAAATTTTATTGTTCAAAGTTTATACCTTTCAATATTGAAAAATCTGAACATACGACTTTCAAAAAAAACCACCTTTTTTATTCATTTATTTATTTATGGAAACATGAAATAACTAGCTAAATCCCAAGTTCCAAAATAGAGCAAGCCTATGAGACCTCACCTGAAAACTTCACTAAGAGGGCAAATACCATATGCTGAGGGTTCTCAACATGCATCCCACCTAGGGCGGGAATGGATAAAAACATGGCCAACCAACAATACTGGTCCCAAAAGTTTTTGTTTTGTTTTGTTTTTCTGTTTTTGCTTTTGTTTTTCTGGATCTTGAACTTCTGAGGCCATGCAAATTACAGGTAATTCAAATTTTTTAAAAAATTATAGTATTTGATCTCTAGAGTTCAGACTAAGAAGTAAAAAATAAATCATTATTGTAGATTAACATCGAATATCCCTGGGATTATTTTTTATCACATTTGTATTCATTTCATTATTACAAATCATTATTTGAAATTGATGAAGCATATTTACATCAACATACTGATCTGCAAGAAAAATGCCTAACATTTCAGCTAAGCTTTGAGGTAACATTCAACACACAAAATTTCCAGTGAAAGGAAATGTATAAGCATGTTACAGTTTTTACACAACAGAAAACAACTGTACAGCTCATTTTTTATAATGCCTTTATTTCTGAATATGCTTGAAAATGGACATTTTGCAATTTCCCACTAGTGATGATATTAAAATTCATTTTATTATTTCTAAAGCACTGACAACTTGTCCATCCTCTGCAATAGTCGCAACAAAAAGTAAACAAAAAGTTAGCATATGACCCAGTAATTTCACTCACAGGTATATACCAAAGAGAAAGAAAACACGTCCACAAAAAAACTGTACATGGATATTTATGGCAGAATTATTCCTAATAGTCAAAAAGTGCTGGGCGCCTGGGTGGCTCAGTGGGTTAAGCCGCTGCCTTCGGCTCAGGTCATGATCTCAGGGTCCTGGGATCGAGCCCCACATCGGGCTCTCTGCTCAGCGGGGAGCCTGCTTCCTCCTCTCTCTCTGCCTGCCTCTCTGCCTACTTGTAATCTCTGTCTGTTAAATAAATAAATAAAATCTTTAAAAAAAAAAAAAAAGTGCTAACAACTCAAATGTCCATGAACTGATAATGGTTAGACAAAATGTGGTACATTCATACAATGGAACATTAACTAGCCATAAAAAAATAACTAAGTACTGATACATACTATGGCATGAATGAACCCTGAAAACAGCGAAAGAAGTCAGACATAAAAGGCCACATACTGCATGTTTCCAATTATGTGAAATGTTCAGAGTATGCAAATCTAAAAAGACAGATGTAGATTAATTGTTGCCTTGGCCTGGGAAGCTAAAGGGGAATTGGAGAGTGACTGCTAATGTGGGCAGGCTTTCTTTTGGTGGCAATAAAAATATTCTAAAATTGATTGTGGTGATGGTTGCACAATTCTGAATATACTAAATACCACTGAGTTGTACACTTTAAAAGTGCATAAATTTATATGATAAATGAATTCTATCTTAATAAAGCTGTTTGGATTGAGAGGCGGGACAAGTGGAGGGGGATGGGTAGGGAAGAAAAAAATGAAACAAGATGGGATCCAGAGGGAGACAAACCATAAGAGACTCTTAATCTCACAAAACAAATTGAGGGTTGCTGGGGGGTGGGGGTAGTGATAGGGTGGCTGGGTGATGGACATTGGGGAGGATATGTGCTATGGTGAGTGCTGTGAAATGTGTAATCTTGATGATTCACAGACCTCTACCCCTGGGGCAAATAATATATTATATGTTAATAAAAATAATTTAAAAATAAATAAAAAGACCAATAAATAAATAAATAAATAAAGTTGTTTGGGAAAAACAAGTTTCCTGATTCCCATAAACTATATCTTTTCCCAAAAGGGTATCTTTTCCAAGTTACCAAACCTAATGACCTTTTCTTACTCTCATGCTTGCAACCTTTGTTCTCTACATCCCCTGCTCTTCTTGGCAAGCATGCCAATCTACCATCCTAGCTGTTCAGGTCCCCCCTAACCCTTTCCAAGCTTGTCCTCTTACATGACTCCCTGTCCACAGGTCTATTCTCAAATGTCTCCTTCAGCAATTTCATCCACTGCCAACCTTTCAAAAGAATCCTCTCAGTAAATCAGATTATTTGTAACTCTTTATCTTCTGCTTCTTGAGCTCTAGCCACAAGTCTCCTGGATAGCTTAGTTCAACCTGGATCCTCTTCACTCTTAACCTACCCAAAACAATCTCATTTTTCCACAGAAATCTAGTTATTTCCACATCACTCCTTATTTTTAATAGCACTAATCCTTTTCTAACTTACCTTGAAGTCATCCTGGACTGCACCCACTTCCCAAATCTTCCAAATTTCTCCCTCAAGCATTTAACCTCCTTTCCCCTACTGCCTCCACCTTTGTTCAGCTCATATACCTCTTAGCATAAATGTTACAAAAGCACTTTAACTTTTCTCCCCAAATCCAGACTATAGGAAAACAACTACAAAAGGCTGCCAAAATAAATCTCATAAAGGACAACTCCAGTCAAAATGAACGGCATGCCAAAAGACATAAGCAGACAATATACACAAGAGGAAATATATGGGATATCGAATATTAAGGAAAGAATATTCAGAGAAATAGAAATAAAAATGGAATCTTCCTAACTAGCACTGTACTGCCACCATAAACTGAGGTAAGTAACCATTTTGAAAAGGAATTTATCAGGAAGTATCAAAAGCCTTAAAATGTATAATTTTGTATAAACTACCTTTCCAGAGATACTCTATGTATAAACTAGTCTATTAAAACATAAGTAACAATACTACCATGGATACCTCCAAGGAGAACTGGGAGACTGAAGGGCAAAATGAAAAGGAAACTTGATTTTCTCCTAATAGCCTTTTGCATTTGATTTTTTTTTTTTAACCAGGTACTATCTACTAAAAATATTTAAATTAGCCATCTCTGAAACTAAGATGAACCCAAATTAAACTGATTATCAAGGTCAGAAGAAAAACTCAGAATAAAACATTTTTGCTCCAGGGACTTTCAAGGCACTGATTTTAAATCTAAATCTTGACCCCAGTTCTCTCAAAGACTTTTACTTTCCTACTGCATGTGATGACACTTTTTTTCTCTTTATACCATTTAAAAAACTATGACATGTCCTGTTTGCCCCAGTGTTGAATTTTTCCCTCTAGATTTACTTAGTCTCTTAGAAGCAGTCGAAAGAATAAGTCAGGGAATCCATCCATCTTACAGCAAAAGGCTTTTATAGAAATCCAGCCCTTAAGCAATAGCAACTGATTAATAAAGAAGCATTCTGCTGCTCTTAACATCTTGACATTGAAGGTTTAATGCCTCATTCAATGAGCTCCAAAACACACTCATTTCATCTTTGACCCAGTAATTTCACTTCTGAGAACACTTTCTACCAAAATAACTTCAAAAACAGAAAAGGCTTTATGCCCGTTATGCTGTGTTTAACACAGGATAATTTAAAAAAATAAAAATCTGGAAGTGACCCAAATGTCCAACATAGAGAAATGGTTAAAAAAATGATAACCTACATTATTTATGGTCAATTGGTTTTCAACAAGGGTGCCAAGACCATTAAATAAGGAAAGGATGGGGCGCCAGGGTGGCTCTGTCAGTTCAGCATCCAACTCTTGATTTTGGCTCAGGTTATGATCTCGGAGTCATAAGATGGAAATGCACGTCGGGATCTATGCTGGGTGTGGAGCCTGTTTAAGATTCTCTCCCTTTCCCTCTGCCCCCTTTAAAAAAATTTAAATAGGGAAAGGATAGTCTTTTCAAAAAATGGTGCTGGAAAAAACAGATAGGCTCATACAAGGAATGAACCTGGATTCCTACCTATGCTACCTACCTATTCCTTGATCCACATAGACCAAGAACTAAATGCAAGAACTAAAACTGTAAAACTCTTAGGAGAAGACACAGTAGTAAATCTTCAAAATCTTGTATTTGGCCATGGTTTTAGACATGACACCAAAAGCACAACCAACCAAAGAAAATATAGATAAATTAGAATTCACCAAAAGTTTAAATGTTTGGGGCACCTGGATGGCTCAGTCATTAAGCACCTGCCTTTGGCTCAGGACATGATCCCAGGACTGCATTGGACACTCTGCTCAGCAGGAAGCCTGCTTCTCCCTCCCTACTCCCTCTGCTTGTGTCCCTCTCTCACTCTCTGTCAAATAAATAAATAAAATCTTAAAAAATAAAAAACCTCTTCTATTAAAAAAAAACTCATACAACTTCAAAATTTTTTAAAATTCAATATAAAAGTGAGCATAGGAATTGGACAGACATTTCTCCAAAGATAACACAAAGGGCTCATAAGCATAGGAAAAGATGCTCAACATTACCATCCTTCAGGGAAATGGACATCAAAGCCACAGTGAGGTACCAACATCATAGGTATACCTCAAAGACAAATATTAAGTTTTAACAAGGATATGGAGAAATCAGAACTCTCATATCCTGCTAGTGCAGACCACTTTCAGAAACATCTGGCAGTTCCTCAAAAAGCTAAACAGAGTTACCATATGACCCAGCAATTCCACTCCTAGATATATATCTAAGAGAAATGTAAACATATATCCACACAAAAACCTGTACATGGATCTTTACAGAATTATTCACAATAGTCAAAAAGAGGAAGCAACTCAACTGTCCATTAACTAATGATGGATAAACAAAATGTGGGGTGTGTGTGTGTGTGTGTGTGTGTGTGTGTAATGGAATATTATTCAGCCATAAAAAGGAATGGAGTATTGATACAAAACCAACATGGATGAACCTTAAAAACATTATGCTAAATCTAAAAAGGCAGATACAAAAGGCCACACGTTCTGTAATTCCATTTACCAGAAATGTTCCGAATAGGAAAATCTACAGACACAGAAGTAGATTAGTGGCTGCTAGGGACGGGAGGAGCAAGGAGACGGGAGAATCTAATTAGTGGTTGCCAGGGACTGGGGGAGCAAATGGGAAGTGAATGTAATGGGTAGAGTTCCTTTTGGAGATGATGAAAATGTTCTGGAATGAGATAGTGGTAATAGGTGCACAACTTTATGAATATAGTAAAAACTACTAAAATTTACAATTTAAAAGGGTGGGTTTATGGTATGTGAATTGTATCTTAATAAAAGATCGATCTAGGCAATGGACGCAATGTACAACAATTATACTTTCTGGTTATAATCATATCTAACACAAGCTATGATCATAAACAGGTTAAAAAATGTTATAAAAAAATAGAGAGGGATCAAAATGCTGGGTTGGTGAAACTGTAGGTGATCGCTTTTTAATTATTCCTGCATTTTCCAGATATTCATTAATAAGCACGCACTGCTTTTTACAAATGGGGGGAGTTTTATTTAAACAAACCAAAAAGGAAATTACTAAACTCCCGAGTGTATAAAAATTCCTTAGCTTAGTGTTCAACGATCTCAGTCACATGGTCCCGAAAATACCTTTCATTTCCCCTCCCCTACAGGGGCGAGTCAAGTTACTCTCTCCTTCCGGAAACACGATGCCCTCTATTTCCAGAGCACCTCCAGCTCCTTTTTTCCACCCTCCTCTCCAGCTGCTCCTTCTCCATCTTCTCGGTCCTTGCCTCCTCCGCCTCCGGACCAGTAAATGCTAATGTCCTGAGAGACTCTAACCAGGCCGCTCTAACACCGCGGGGCTGCTCTGGCCCCAACCCGCCACGCAGGACTAGCGCGCACACCCTCGGGTCTCTGCGAGCCTCTGACTCGGAGAACCCCGCAGCCCGCGAGTGCAAAGTTAGTGAAGGAGAGCGAGGACTGCCCGCACACAGACAGTTCCTTCCCCGGAGAAGGAATAAGACTGCCAGGCTAGAGCCAAGGCTGAGAAGGGACCGGCACGGGCGCCACGCGCGACCGAGGGGTCGAGGGACGTCCCGGATCCGCTCCTTCAGCACCGCCCCAGGCAGTGGGCATCCTGCGCGCCGCCCCCTCCCGGCCCCGAAGAGGATGTCCCAGCGAGCGCGCGGGCCTGGACAGAGGCAGCGCCGCAGCGGCGGCAGCGGCGCGGACAGCGTGAGAAAGAGAGACACTCACCAGCGTCAGCCCCGAGCCCTCACAGCACCGGAAGTAGTCACCCGCCCGTTGCCAGGGTGAGGAAGCGGGGCTGACATCAAGCTTTCCCATTGGGTATGCGCGTAGCACGTGGCCGGAAGCAAACGCCCACGCGGGGCTCAGACTCTGCCCACTGCTTCCGAACACTGCACCTGGCGGGTGAAGTTCCACGCAGACTTCACCTGGAGCCTCATTCTGAGCTGCGCAGGCGCCGCTGCCAGTCTCTTTTAACCCAGACTCTTAATGAGCCAGTCCCCGCTTCTGATCCAAGTGGTTGGCAGACCAGCAATGTGATAGGAAATGAAGTTAAAGTAGCCATGATTTATTGAGATGTCACTTCAGAGCTTAAATTTTTTCAGTCCTTGCAGCCTCCCTGTTACAGTAGGGAAAACTGGAGTTATGCCAGGATTCTATGTGGGAGGTGGGGGCCCGCCCTGCCCTGGGGAGAATCAAAGTGTGAGTGACCTTTCTTTTACCGTCTCGCTTCTAAGAGCAAGACCAGTAACAAAGTAATCCATTTAATGTTTCCTTGTAACTATTAACATGGGTCCTTTAACAAATAACCACCTTTAAACCTGTTTTAGAAAGCAGAGATTGAAAGTAGTAGCTCTAAGTATGGTCCCCAGATCAGAAGCTTAACGTGACCTGGGCCCTTACTAGACGTACAATTTATGAAAAGGCGTTCCACCTGGGGAGGGGGAGGCGATTATTTTAATTGCAGATAAAAATAGCAATCCTCTTCTGATTATATAAAATTTTAGGACTGATACTATATAGTGTTGGTGAGGATTGAGAAAACAATCACTCTTGTTCATTGCTGGTGCAATAAAGACTTGCACAAATTTTGGGGTGACAGTTTGATAGTCATCTACTGCAATATTTTTTTTTTGTACTTTGCTTTATTGTGCTTTGTAGGTACTGTTTTTTGGTTTTTTTTTTGTTTGTTTGTTTGTTTGTTTGTTTGTTTTTGCAGTGATTCTTTTTTTTTCTTTTAATTTTATTTTTTTAAACATATAATATCTTTTTATCCCCAGGGGTACAGGTCTGTGAATCGCCAGGTTTACACACTTCACAGCACTCACCATAGCACATACCCTCCCCAATGTCCATAATCCCACCCCCCCAACCCCCCTCCCCCCATCTACTGCAATTTTAAGTGTGCTTACCCTTTGACCCAGAATATCTACTTTCAAGAGTCTACCTACAATATTCCCATATGTGCACCAAGATATATACATCTATTCATGCAAAAAGTATTTATCAAATAATTTCTACAAGCTTGGCACTGCTCAAGATTTATTGAAACATAGTTCATGTAGGAGAAAAGAAAAAATGGTTGTGTGAATTTCTATCAATATGGACCAGCTAATTCAGTTATAAAAATGCAAACTATATGAAGATGCAACCATTTTTTAAGTACTCAGCTGAAAAGCTATCAAAGACATGATTTAAAAATCCAAAATATCTTACATCCCATTTATGTATGCATGTCTGTTTATTTTTATGTATATTTACATATACATACATAGACAGTATATGTGGAAAATGGTTAAAAGGTTTTGTACCAGAATATAAATGAAGCTACTAACAGAAATAAGATTGGATTAAGTTAGGGATGAAATCGTTTTTATTTTATTTATATCAATAACTACAGAACACTTAAAAATGCTGGATAAAATATAGCAAATATTGTTGTACTCAGCTAAAAGAGACCAAAAAACGGAGACCAAAAAAAAAAGAAAAAGAAAAACAATGGAGAATCCAGAGTAGGGTGCCAGTGCTGAAGGCTCATCTCTACTAAGAGCACTTACATATAGCAGGAGGCTAAGGTTTGGGTTTTTAAGCCCATAAGGTAACAAACAGAAATACACACTCACACACACACACACACACACACACACACACACACACACCCTTAGTAAGAACAGAAACAGGAGAAAGTGAACATTGATCTCAGGCTTCTGGTTTTGAAGTCATAAGATAAAGAATATAAAGTAAATAGTTCTTAAATGTTTGTAAAAAAATAAGTGAGGGAATAGAAAACCAAGCAAAGATTAAGAAAATACTCCCCCCAAAAAATCTGATAGAATTGAAAGTTAAATAAATAAAAGATCTAGAAATACAAAATTGTTTATTAAAAAAAGAATCCACAGTAGATGGGCTAAACATTACTTAGACACAACCTGAGAAAAAATTAAGCAAATTGGAAGGTAGATATAAAGAAATTACCCAGGATGAGGATCAGAGAGACAAAGATATGGAAAGTATGGATGAGAATATAATAGATGTAGAAGATAGACTAGTAGGGCTAGAATGTCTAATATACATAACATTAGAATTCCAAGAACATAAAAAAACAAACAAGGAAGAGGCAGTATTTTAAGAGATAATAAATATGAATTATCCAGATTGATGAAAAACAGAAACTCTCAGATTCAGGAAACTCATGAGTCTCAAGGGAGATAAATAAAAGAAATCCAAACCTAGACACATTATGCTGAAATTTCAGAAGATCAAAGACAAAAACATCTTAAAAGCAACCAGGGACAAAATACCTACAAAGAAATGATTAGACTGAAAAGAGATGTTGCAGTTTAACAATTGAAAATAGAAGATAAAAATAATATTTTTGAATTACTGAATAATGTCCAAAGTACTGAAGACATGTCAACCTAGAATTGTTTACCCAGCTAAACAAGCATTCAGGAATGAGAATGTAATGAGGATATTTTCAGATAAGCCCAAACTGAGTAACTTTACCATAAACCAAATTATTTATAAAGGATACAATGCAGGCGGAAGAAGAGAATTCCAAAAGAATTATTCAAGAAGAAATAGAAGTTGACTTTAGAGATCCCAAGTTCTGAGCCTAAGATTCTCACGAGAGGTTTACAGAGTTGTCTTTATTTCCACAGACTTAGTCTCTAATCCTCTGATATCTATGTTATTTACTTTTTATGGTGAAAGTATTTTACATATCACCAGTAATCACATTCTATGTTTGTAATAGGTCATCTTACTGTTTTTGGTATAAGAAAGTGCAGCAGATCTTTCTTCTGAAATGGCTGCAACATAATACTGTCCACCTCACTTGCCCCTTTGAATGTTGAGACTTTGATACTTCTCCCGTCTAGAGGCAAGTCTATGTTCCCTACCCTTGAATCTGAGCCAACTTGTGACTATAGCAGAAACCACAACAGGTGACTTCTGAGGAAGTTTGCAAAGCAGTGCAGTTCTTTATGATTCTCTCTTGCAATGCTTACTTTTATATCCCAGCCACCATGCTCTGCAGAAGCTCAAGCAGCCACATGGGAAAACCATGTGTGGAAGCTGTGACCAATGACTCCAAATAAGGTCCGAGCTGCAGCCAGCACCAACTGCCAGACAAGTAATTGAATGGGCCTTCAGAAGATTCCAGTCCTCAGCCATGGATTAACTTTCAACATTTATGTCTTCCCAGCTTAGCAATCATAAGCAGAAACAAGCCATCTCCACTTACTTGCCCTTTCCAAATCTTGATCATAGTAATATAATAAAATGGCTTTTGTTTTACATCACAAGGTTTACACTACTAGTAGTACTTGATCACAGGCTCCAGCAAAGTTCACTGGCTCTTATATTGAGGGTATCATGCCAGGGTCCTGACACTGAAAGTCTAAGAAAGGTTAGCAGTACCTAGGAGGATAACCTCATGGTTCTGGACAACTCAACTGCCTCCAGTTTGCCCACCTTATCCTCACTAACTAGTCATCTCTCTTCTCTGTCTTTTGCACTCTCCCACCATGGGTAACCTGGGTTTTTTTTTTTTTTCTTCTTCTTCTTTATTTTTCTTCCAGTAACTTCTAGGGGTAGAAGGGAAAGCTTATTACATAGTAATAGTAAGAGTAAGCATTTATTACATGACAGCAGTAATTGGAACAGGTGTTACCTGGAAGTGGATAAACACCATAAAAAAAACATAACAAAAGAACATAACAAGAGTAAAACAGGTGGCATTGACTTTGAGACTACGTGAAGCAGCAAGGGTAGGAGGGGATCCTAAAGGAGAGTATCAGAAATCTAAGAGACCTTGAGGAGGGTGCACCAAGGGCACAAAGGAAACTGAGGAAGATGTTGTTGAAAGTCAGAGAAAAGGATCCCTTGTTACATAGGACCAAAAAGTTCAACCCCGGCTTTGGGGAGCAGATACAAACCATCCCCAGGGTGCCCTGCCTGAATTCCTGACCCATAGACTCTATAAGCATAATAAAATGGTGTTTTTTTTTAATGTCATTGAATGTGGAGTGGTTTTTTACACAGCGATACTAAATGGAACGGGCAGAAACAGAAGAAAAGATGTTTGGATTTTTCAAATGCATAGAGAAGTCACTATGTTGTACATCTGAAACTAATATAAACATTGTGTGTCAACTATACTCAAATAAAAAGTTATAAATAAGTAAATTAATTAATGAATTAGTTAATTTAATTTAATGAAAAAATGCACAGAGAGGCTCCCTTCCATTTCTTGGACAACATTGTTACCTGCTGTGTTCCCAGAATTTAACTACAAGTGAAAATCACTCCCAGTCCTGCTCTGCACACCTTTATCTTGGGAGTCCGGCTCAGGCATTGCTCTTGCCATCCCCTAGCAGTTTAAGTGGAAGTAACAAAATTCCATCTAACCTGTCTTCAGAGCCAATTTTTCGAATTTCTAACCTGTGTCAGTGCAATTGCTCTCAGGTCTTTTGAAATATTAAGGATGACAGTTACCTAGCTAATCAATTCACTGGGTGTTAAATATAAAAGAAAGGCATCTACTACTTAATTTCCTTCAAGAAAAATCTCCATCTCCTTATTCCACCTTTTTTCAAACATTGAGGAAAAAGATCAGGGGACATGCATGGACCGTAAGCTGGGAAAACCGTAATGCACATTGTCCAGGATGCTGAGTGTAACTTTGTCACTCTTTTTAAAATAAAAGGACCAGCCATGTTCTTTCCCCTCCCTCCAATGTTAATATCTGCGTTTGCTTGAT